CTCAGAAATAAGTTTTATTTAAACTAAGCATAGGCTTATCTTAGTGGAGTTTTTTGCTTTTTCTGCACCCTAATTATACCGGCCTTGTTTTTTACTGTCAGGCTAAGGATTTTATTTGCTTCAAATCTCCTGTTTGTATTATCTAGATCAGGCTCTTTGTGAAACTGGGTCATGTTATAAATAATAAATAAGATTTAAAGCAGGCCTAGATTGCACCTGCTTGGAAAGACTCACGTGATGAAGTCTTAACATTTTTGGGGGTCCTTTGGCCATCAGCCATGCCAAAGGCCTGGCATGTGAGGTTAACATCACGATTAGGGCATTATCTTGACCAAAGAAATGATGAAACACGTGAGACTTTATAAATTTTGCCAAAAGTGTACACAACATCTCCAACGATACGGAATGAGTAAGGCTTGGTAGCTTTTAGTAATAAAGGTGACATCTAAATGCTGTGCAGCTTCCATGGCTTGAAAGGACTGGAGTTTGGCAATGCCTACGGTTTAACAGTAGAGTGTGCACAGAACACTGCAAGGCCAAAGGTTCAATACCCAGTATCAAAGGTAGGGGAAAGGAGTGGGAGGGTTTACAAAATCAACTCTAGATGTACAAGATTGAAAAAGCGCAGCAAAAGGAGTGTAGCTGGCAGAAAGGATGGCTTATTGTCTTCCTAAAATGGGTCAAAATCTTAGCATTGTAGTAGCTTGCATAATGAGAAAAATCCTGTACTCAGAGAATTGAGGACTTCTGAGGATCTGGAAGGGCTTCCTTCCCTCTAGGGTCTCAGGGAGAAAGCTTTTGATAGCGTGTCATCTCATGTCTTGGTTGGTGCAGTTTCCATACTATCATATTCCTAAATTATGATGCTGTGTAAGTTACGGTATGAGTGTGCAGGATCTCTGCATGTACACATGTGTATATATTGCGTGTGGAGGCCGGGGGTTGATGTCAGCAGTCTCTCACTATTGCTCATTCTTCCTCTGCAAGTCATTATGTCGAGACTCACCTCCAAATCACAGAGATGGCCCCGGCTCTGCCTCTGGACCGCTGGGATTAAAGGCGTGTGCTGGGCTGTCTTGTCTTTTGAAATAGCATCTCTTACTGAACTCATAGTTCAGCGATTGGCTATAATGGCTGTCCAGTGAGATCCAGGGATCCATTCATTTCCATCCCTAGAATGGAATTGCTAGGATTGCAGATATGTACAGCTAAGTTTGGCTTTTACATTGGCACTGGGGGCGTGAACTCAGACCCTCAGTATTGCACAGTGGGCACATTGCCAACCAAGGCAGCTCCTGACTCCCAGTTGAGACTCTGGTAAGAGCAGCAGAGTCTTCTTTTTTTAATTAACTTTTCTTTTTTCTTTTTAAAGATTTCTTTATTGTTTATACAACATTCTGCCTGCACACTAGATCTTATATAGATGGTTATGAGCCACCATGTGGTTGCTGCGAATTGAACTCAGGACCTTTTGGCAGAACAGCTAGTGTTCTTAACCTCTGAGCCATCTCTCCAGCCCCCCAGAAGAGTCTTAAATTGAAGAGATTTCTCATTTTATTTTATTTATTTGTGTTACTCACCATCTGCTTCCCCCACTGGCTGATGGAACAAGTACTGTGAACCGTAACCTTTCCCAGTTGGTGAGACAGAGTCTCAAGATGATGCGTCCCACACCTCTGTGTCCCTGTGTCACTTGATTAGAATCAGGGCTGCTTCCTGTGGCAATTCCATACCATGGTCTGAACTTACAGCCCTCTAACTTCTGGCCCTACCAATACGTGTGCGTGCTCTGTCCTATCTCTGTCTTTTCCTGTGAAGGTACATAGTAAGCACTCACAGGCAGTCCACATGCCTCATAGACTCGTGTGGAAGCTGAGAAAATCCCCAGGACCTAAGTAGCAATTAGCACTGGATAGTCTGGGAAGCGGCTAACGATGGCACATTCTGCATCCTTTCATCATTAGACCTCGACGTCATGCCTCTTGCACAATTCTAAATAAAATAAAAGTCTTTCAGAGTTTCTGAAAGACTTCTGGGCTGCACAACTCAGCTTCTGAGAGAGCTGAACGAAGGACGGAAACAAGTACCACTTGAATCTAGTTTGCAAAAAGCTGACTTAAAGGTAAATAGATAACACAGGTTAAAAAAAAATCACACAGCTACGGTTTCAAATCACTTTAGACTGTGTGCGCTCAGGCAGACTAAACCTCCCATCATTTCCTTAAAAAAAAATTCTGCTTTTTTTGTCTACATTTTTAAGAGTTCTCTTCAGGTTCACCATATAACATCGTGGGGGGAAAGGAATTCTAAGCCAAATAATTTTGGCTGATCAACCTGGAGGAAATAGATAACTGAGGCAGGAGAAAACCTTCCATTAAGGTACTGTAAGCCCAGTTGGAGTGAGTGAAGAAGCGATTTAAAGGTGATCTCAGTGAGTCACGGAAACAAGTGACTAGTCACCTGAGAGATTAGTTTTTCCTGTCCAAGGAAATTGTGGGGCGTCTTAGAGCTGTCTTAAGTAGAAATAGAAATGCATGGTTTTTAAGGAATTATATATATATATATTACCGCCTCCAAAAGAGGATTTGTTGAAGCAGTTCAAACTCAGCTCAAATGAGTCATTTTAGTTTGTCCCTTCAAGCTTTAAAACACAAGGGTTGCCCAGGAGCAAGGAGACAGAATTCTAGGAAGTTTTGGAGGAAAACAAGCTTGTGGATCCAACAGTTTGCAGGTGCTTCCTTCTCTGCTGCCTGTTTCCTTCTCGTTTTCTCCAACAGTGCTCTCTCTATGGTGACTCTGGCCTCCTCCTAGTTGCTGTTTCACTGGCTCATTTGTTTGCTTTTGTGATAAAGGTATTCAGTAACATCCTAAGTAATGACCGGAGAAAGAATACAAAAGAGGGCGTGCACGTACACACACACACACACACACACACACACACACACACAGAGAGAGAGAGAGAGAGACAGAGAGAGAGAGAGAGAGAGAGAGAGAGAGAGAGAGAGAGAGAGAGAACAGAAGCATTTTACCGGGAAATTAGTTATAAAAACACATTACTTATGCAAATGACACACGCAGTTACTATAGTAATAAAAACCCAACTCTTTCTTCCCCTTCCCCTTGCTTTTAGCGCCATCAATTTCCAGTGCTTGGTTCCTTGGTATCAACTGTGTGCATGCTTCTGTGCATCTGACCCTTCTGATGAAGAATCTAGAACTCCTCTTTGTAGCAATAGTTTTAAAGGCATAGAATAGTGTTTTCCAGAATGAGCATCCTGAGAGACAGGTTGGACCTTCGCTTTCACGCTTAGGCAGGGTCATCAGCCAGCTGTGGTCACCTGTAGCTGGGAAGAGAGCTGTGGCAACGCTGGCATTGCAGATCCCGAAGACTCTGGACGTGACAGCGACTGTCTTTGTACCTGGGTTATGTTGGGGCGTTGGCCTCTACTCCATCAGACCCAGGCTGCAACACAGGCAGGCTCAGCAGCAGCAGCAGCGGCAGCAGCAAGAAGTTATTTAACAACAAATGCATGTCAAACAACAGACTGCACAATGCCACGGCCCTGTTGCATCCCACAGGAGGAAAGAAAGGATGCAAACTTAAGTGAACGACAGACAGCCCAGGTCTTGAAGACAGTGGGTTGCTATGGGAGTAATCGGAGTGATTTCTGCAAGCTGAACGTGATTTGGGGCTTGTTGCTACAATGATTTCTGTGTTCATTTAATATAAATTTTCATTGAAATGCCAACTAGAATCTCACTTGATGCGCAAAAATTGAAATTATGCAACAAAGAAGAGAAGCACGGGGAGGCGGTCGTTCCTGACTCAGCGTGTGCCACTGTTTCTGCTGTTGTGTGATAGCCGTACCTTGGGAAGGGAGCAGCACCCGGTGCCCCTTGTCAGCCTCCGGGGAAATAAGAGCTAGGGCTAATGAGAGCTCCCAGGCATGTATTTCCTGTTAAAGGCACTGCCCTTGGGCTCTGAAGCCTTGGATGTTCTTGGTGATAGTGGGATAAATTATTTTGCAACCTTTTTCTGGAGGAGGCATGGCTACATACCCTACAGCTGTAAGATAACAGAGCAAACCTTTCCTGTGGGTTTGCCTCTTGTATGAAAGCTGAACTCCCAGACATCTGTCTAATGGCCAAAGATGGGAGAGCATGGCCTCTGGAGCATGTCTCGCCTTTACTTTCTGTCAGAGACGAGTGTAGGAATTGAAACAGTGTCCACACTGACAAGACAGAAATAAATCTATTGCTGACACTTTGCGAGATCTACTAAGAGAGTGAGCGATGGCTCAAATGGATGATTGGTTTCACACAGAAAACACTGATGGTGTATTCAGTTCATCCACTGCCTGATTGGTAATAAAACCTTTGGTTCTTATAGCAAAGTCCAGCAGATCTAAGAACTGCCAGGGGCGCCCAACCTTTTGAAGCTACAGTGTGATGTAGTGCTCTTTCAGTGTGTTGTTCTGCATTCATAGATATCTTGGGATGCATGTGGCCGACACTGCAGGTTAGACATGCCTGTGGGCTATGTATATTTCTTCTGTCACTGTAACTTGAGCAATGTCTTTTTTTCCCCCTTGAATGGAAGGCACTTGGGATCCATTTAAATGCCATGATGGAGTTCCAGAATGCCCACCTGTCAGTAACATTAGCCTCATTCATGCCCATTGGCCAGTGAGATTAAAGGATGAGAAAGAAAGAGGAAGCAATTTAGGATGGAGGAAGTGATAGCAAAACGATGCTACACCTTTGACATTTTGCAGCATGCAAATGATATAATAAGTGATATGCAAATTTGCAGCAATTACTTGATTCAAGAGCTCACAGCTTTTTTGGAGATGGCTTTGAAGCAGACAGTATGATGTCTGTAATCAGAGTCTTCACTTTCAAGGGTGATTATCCCCTGGGCTGGAAAGCGCTTGTCTGCAGGTTGAATCGTTTGCCCTTAAGACTGACTGCCTTTCTTTCCTGTCCCTGACTCTCTTGCAGACCAGAGGACGTTCTCCTGCACCGCACGCATGATGAGATTGTCCTCCTGCACTGCTTCCTCTGGCCAGTGGTGACATTTGTGGTGGGTGTTCTCATTGTGGTCCTGACCATCTGTGCCAAGAGCCTGGCGGTCAAGGCAGAAGCCATGAAGAAGCGCAAGATCTCCTAACAGGGAGGAAGATTGCGGGAAGCCAGGCAGAGAGGCTGCCGTGTTGGCACGCGCCTACCCTGCAGAGCCCACACTTGGTGGTGCAGGAGATGGAAGGGGCCACAACAGGCCTCCAAGAGGCCCCTTCCTCAACGGCGACAGAAACAGGCCCAGATGGAAACCTCGGAACTCATCGCCTGTATTCCATGTGCTGTAGCAATGGCTAAAGGGCCAAGCTCTTAGCTATGTGGAGTGACCAACTGTGTGGAAAACCCTCTGAGAAGCTGGTTTTCTTTGGAAAGTAACAGTGTATTATTTGTATAGTGTAGTATACAAACCATTATGATTTATGCTACTTACAAATATTAAAAATACAGTGCTCTGTGTTCTTTTTCTATTTTCTTTTTTATGCTTATATCATCAGTGTATTTAAAAAAAAGGGGGGTCTAATAGTTTTCACTTAGTTCTTTTAGACTGAACTTTTACTTGATTGTGAGCATACGAATCTTCAGAGCCGCTGACCTTACTGCGTAACTGCCGGTCTCCACGAGTAAACAGTATCTTGACTCCTACTTGAAAAAGGAATTCTGCAGTGGTAACCCAGTCTCCAGCTACTCCCGTCGCTTTCCTTAGAAGACTGAGAAAAGATCATTATTTCTGGCCAGATGACTTTGTGAGAGAGGGACAGGATTCTGGAGGAGGCCTGTCCTTGCTCTGGGGAGACTGAATTTTTATTTCTCTGTTCATGCTATTTATTCATTTATTTGAAACGCTAGGTATCAAGAGTGTAGCACATGCCAGACAAGTTCAGGACTATTGAGCCGAATTCCCAGCCTCATTGTTCATGGGTTTTGTTTGTGTTGTTTTTGGCAGGTTTTTTTTCTCTGTGCAGTACAATAGACATGACGTAAAGAACACTCTTCCGTTTGTAGTTAAATGCTGTTTTTTTTCCTCTAACAGGGTCAGCACAAGTGTTTTATTTTCCTTGCCTCTGTCCTTGCGTTCATGTTCTCCTGTAAAAGCAGGGTGACTGCTGAGGTTGTTCAGTTTGCTCAGACAGGACTGGGGGTGCAGCCTGGCCCACCCCACTGCTGCTGGGCTTTCTGTGCCTTCAAAAGTGCAGCAAAGCCAGGTGTGTTGGCACACATGGATCTCTCTATGTTCAAGGCCAGCCTTGTCTACATAGTGAATTCTAGAACAGCCAGAGCTACATGGTGACATCCTGTGTCGTTAAAAAAAATAATAATAAAAATAAAAAGTACACCAGAAACCATCATCTTTCCATCTGTTTACAGACTCGAATTTCAGATACCAACCATGAGTCCCAGCAGATATAAGATCCCTTTCCCATTTACCTCGCAAAATTAAGCCTTCGTTCAGATGAGGTGCATATCTTCAGTGGAGGAGTGACAGTGATGGCTTAGCGTTGGCCTTGGCCTTCTTCTCACGCTGCAGGCACGCTGCCCTTAGAATGAAGTTGGGGTTTAAGGGCAGGCTCACCTCAGTTATTTCCATGGGGGTTTTGAAAACTGAGTGGGGCAGTGACTCCCTCACTCATAGTCTACACCTCACTGTTCCCTGAACTTCAGAGTGGAAGCTGTCAAGAGCACCTTACTCCTCTACAAGAACATTGGAAGAACGCAGTCATCTTTTTTTTTTCTTTTCTAATTCAGGTGTTATAGGTTTCACTGTGAATAAGGCCTGGAACACACTATTTATGACATCCTTTGAGGCTGCTTCAGTGCCTTGACTTCAATCCCAGTTTTCTTTTGCAGTATCCTTGTTGTCTTAGCAACACAGAACTATTCTGAAGCACCGGGTACCACGGAACCAGGAATCAGAGAAAAACCATCTTGGCATCACACAGAGGGCAATGATGTCTGTGTTATGTTCATCCAAGTATCCACACTTAACTGACTATAGAGAACACACAACCCTTAAGCGCCCATGGACATATGTCTCTGCTGGAATAAAAGCAAGTCAACATGTTAATCAATCTGAGTTTCCATTTGTCAATTTGATGCTCATGACTTACATTAACTATATGCGTCTCTTTAAGCTCAAAGAGTATATATGCCACTATGCTGTAGGGTGATTTTTGGAACAGGGTAAGCACACTGAACCTACATGAAGTCACATGTGGTTTTCAGGACTTGTTTACAGCTAGTTCAATGTGAGCTTCCTTACTTGTTAAAAGTAAAACCCAGAGGTTTGGCAAGGAGAAGAAGCTCATAAAAGATAAGCTTGATTTCTTAGTATTTTCATTCCTTTTTTTGTGTGTATGTAAGTCAGAAAAAGGACCAAGCTGCTATAACACAAGCCCCCAAACAGGACGGTTTATGTAAGATGCAAGTTTATTTCTTCCGTGGCAATCCAGAAGTAGTTGGTAAGTGGAGAGTGGGTAGGCAGGCTGTTTGAGATTTGCCTACCTGTGTCTCTCTTATGGTCAGTACTACATATGTACCTTCCAGCCTGGAAAAGAAAGGATGTCGGGATTAAAGCTGTTGTCTTTAAGCACATTTCACCCATCCCTTGTCCCCACAGTGCAGTCTCTTGAGTATTCGTGCACAGCCTTCAGGAATGCTTGAGCCTGTATCTGCAAATAGACACAAACCCTGCAAAGGCTCTAAGGGTGGGGGGGGGGAGCTTCTATTGCTAAAACAAAGAAAGAGGGGAATTAACCCTAAGGGAAAAGTGAAAGGAGAGGGACAGAAGCACTGGCTCATGCTTCGGCAGAGCAGGCAGAGCAGGAAGCAACATCTTGGCTACATCACTGGTCGGTCTAGGAAGGGTTGCTCCAGCCTATTGTTTTCACAGCCCCTATTTCGATCCCTAAGAAATTATTGCCAATACACTCCGTGAAACTGAAAATCTGAGGGACATTCCAGTTTATCTGCCACCTGTGTTCAGATGCAGATCTATAGAATAGATTGCTTTAGGAACTAAGGAGGCTTTCCTAAGCCAGGCATGTAAGTTCATCTCACTGTAATAACAGCTCAAACTCAACTCTTGATCTCATTGAATACCATCAAGCCTCACTTTACCCTCAGACTCCACAATGGTATCACAAGCTCTTGGAAGGCCAGTGGCTCTTCCTTTGGCCCCAGTAGGAAGCTGCAATCACATACACGCTGGCACCCAAGCCTAGCCTCATGAACAATAAAAGCGAAGCCAGTGAAATAATTTATGGACCCACTTGGGGTCCTGCTCTGTCTCCTCGGAAAGCCTCAGTGCATGTACACACACACAAAACAAAACTTTTGATATTTTCTTGGTGTGTATATGTGTATTATTAGCAACACCTGAATTTAAATTCACAACACCTTGCTGCATTTTGGGTACTGGTGATGGCATTTTAAATTGATCCCCATGATGAAACAAGCTACTTCCGAAAGTTACCCAGTCTCCTCTACACACACACACACACACACACACACACATACACACACACACACACACACACGGTAGCAATGCACATCCTCCGACTACACAAATTTAATTAATTTTTTTTTTTAATCGGTAGCTTACAAGTATATAGGCTTTCAATCGTTTCATTTGAAAATAACTGAGACACAGGGTGCTCAGGTCCTAATTCCTCAGCCAGCAGCCACTTTGCCTGGCCTGTGTCTCTGTATTTCTGTTTAATGGAAGCCACCTAGAAAGATGAATTTAAGTCAAAATGCAATACTTTCCGTAGTTTTCAGAGCTAATGCTCGTTGTCTGATCAGTAATACTTAATAGGGAGCTTGAGAAAGACTGACTAATATCAGGTCTTGGAGTGCTGGACTACAGAAACAGTTGAGCTGCAGGAATAGGCAGAGACTGCAAAAGCTGTGTCACCTGCAGCTGTCTTCTAAGTTTATTTTCTTTTCTCTCTTGTACAATGGTACAAGTGCCTACTGGGATTTGGATATGATTTGGACATCAGGGGTTCTTTCCATTATTTTATCCTCCTAAGATTAAAGTTAATTAAACTACCTTGCTTGAGTTAATTTAATGATTAAAATTGATTTAATCAGAATCTTCATAAGAACCAAGAGGATGGAGGGGGGAAAAAGAGAAACTTTATTCTTCTGCCAGAGTAGGATACTTCCAAAGGGTGAGGGCTGGGGTTTCCTTAGGCAGGATGGTGTTAGGGACAGCCAGCAGAGTTGGGGACGTGTAAAGGATGTATGTAACATGGTCTGTGGGGTTGTTCAATGCCTGTATCCAGAGTTCTCTATAACCTGCCACGTGCTGCTGTATTCATGAGCAAGAAAATGGAACTAACCTAGAAGTCCATCAACAGATGAATGCATAATCAAAACAGTGCATTTACACAGTGGCATTTCACTCTTCTGAAAAGAAAAGCAGAAACCATGAGCTATTCGGAAGAATGAATAGACCCCCTGGAAAGCATAATATTCAGTGGTGCGACCCAAACTCAGAAAGACAAACTCATATGTGTTCTCATATGCACATTCTACCCTGTAAGGTATACATTATATGTAAACGGGTGCAAGTAAGGTTAAAGCCTAAAAAGTCAAAGAGACCAAGAGGGTAAAAATAGGTGCGAAGGAGCAATGGGACAGTGGTACAGGGTAAAGTGGCATCAGGAAGAGGTAAGGAGGGGGATGGCAGTGATGAGGAGAGAGGGAAAGGCTCTACGAAACCACACTTTGATTGAAAATACCGCAGTACCAAATGTCTTCTATGAGGATTAAATATACTAAAGTAAATAAATAAATAGAGCACAGACTTAAAAAACAAAAAACATAATGCCATCGAATACATTCTAATTGTAAGAAAATAGTGTATTCTAGAGTGTAGGGAAGTATGTTAGCTTTGGTTTTTATGTTCCTTTAGTGTTGTTTTTTTTGGGGGGGGGGTTGCTTGCTTATTTATTTATTTATTTATTTATTTATTTATTTATATTTTTACATTGAGTATTTCATGTAGCTCAGGCTACCCTTATAAGTTCAGTGTAGCTGGGGCTGGCTTCAAACTTGTGCTACTCCTGCCTCCAGCTCCTGGGAGGTAGGCTAACAGGCATCTCCTGCCACACTCAGCTTTAGAATGTGGACACTTAAAAAACTATGGGGAATGAGAAAAGACTCAGAAGGGTGGCATTTCAGAAAAGGACAAGGATCTGGTGACTTGTTAGAATGAATTTGACCTCTTGGTAGTAGTTCTCTAAGAACTGAAGTCGAAGAGAGGATTCTGGGCTTCGAACCCAGCCTCTTTCTGGTTGCTGGTGTGTGCTCTGGGGTAAGTTAGCCCGCTTCTACAAACATCTCAGTTATGAAGTGGTGCGGAGGCTGAGGCACTGATACTGGATCGTTAGTGAGGATTAAGTGAGAGTATAAGACTTAACTAGTGCACAGCCTTGTTGATAAACACTAATCAAGATGGCGATAAGGATTGTGGTTGATGGCAGTGGTTGCACAGCGTGCTTTCAATAAATATGGAAAATGAAAAGGTCGCAAAACCTTTTTGCGGGGAGGGGCATGAAATTCTGTGCTTTTGGTCCTCTGATTCTTCTTGCTTAGTCCCTAGCAATTTAAAAGACCAGTACTGAGTTCTATCCTTTTCTGAAGTTCTATCATTAGCTGGTCTTATTTCTAGAACTCTTTAACTTTTAAAAATTCACCTCTGATATCTATTTTTAAAAGAACAGATACTCCTGAGTCCCCTGCTTTGTTCAGTGCTAATACATTGCTGTTATTGAAAAGACCTACCTCACCATACCGAGCGATTTCTGGAAGTATTAAAAGGTAAGTAATTTCTTTGACGAAGAGCAATCACCGGCATCCTTCCTTTCCTTAGACTTGAAACAAACAGCGCTGTCCTCTTTGTCCATTCTTCATAGAACATTGCACATGACTGAGGTAATTTTTGCATGATTAATGCAGCCTCTAAAAGAGGCAATGTTTCTATGTAGCTCAAAAAGTGTTTGGACTATATAAAGCATATGTGTGCCTCATTAGCCAGTCTCTGGCCCAGGTTAATCCTTACAAAGGTTTTTTTTTTCTCCTCTCTCTAAAAACACTACTTGATGAGTGTCATTCTCCAAGCACCACACGACAGTTAGAAAAGATCCAATTAGGATCTAAACTTCCAGACAGCATTTAGAAGTGATGGTAAATTCAAACAAGACCACCCCGAGTCTGTGGAGGAATTGGAGGTGTTTGAAGTTTGAGAGAAATGCTTTTCTTCTTGTAAAAGTCGGTGCTAATTAAAGGTCAGAAACACAGTAACCACCCAGAGTTCTAGCACTCACGGTCCTTGAGAGGCAACGAGAGTTAATAAGATGAGGTCAAAGCAAGGAAGATATATGTTGATGCCATAGGGTGTGCCTGATTAAATGCCAGTTCTTGCTCACAGCAAGTAAAGCTATCTGGCGTCTCAAAGTCACTGCCAAGGACACAACACACGAGTCTCATCTGAAGCTGAGCTGTTTCTACTTTGCCTGGTTCTCCACAGACGGTGATTCACAGCACAGGACATGAGTCACCTATTGACACTTAGATTCAAGTCCAGAGCTAAGCTCTAAGCTTAGCTTGGCCAGGCAGAAGCAGTCCCTGTGTGAGATATCTTGTACTCTACATGCATTAGGGAGAGCAAGATTCCTGGTAGAATCCAGGCAGTGATTTCTGAGACTGGGATGGGGAGCTGAGCTTATTTAGAATCTTATAGCCTGATGTGCCAAGCAGACTCCCCTTAGCGATAACACGCTGCAGTGGTTAATGTAGGCTGTCAGCGTCACAGGATCTAGAATCATCTTGGCGAGAAATCTCTGCGCACACCTGTGAGTTTCTAGAGTCAGTTAATTGAGGTGGGAAGGTTGATCTTAAGAATGGGCAACACCATTCCTGGGGCAGGGTCGCAGACTGAATAAGAAAGGGTAAAGTGGCTGAGCACCAGCTTCACCTCCCTCTACTCCCTGACTGTTCCTGCAGTGTGACCAGCTGCCTGTCATTATGTCTTCTCCATCATGGTGG